TGTGTGTCTTGAATGTTCTTGAAGTATTAATAGACTATTTGTGTTAACTGTTAATAGAACTTTTTGGAATTTGTCTTGACTGTTCCTAGAGTATTAATTCGACTATTTGTATTAAATGTAAATAGACTATTCTGTAAATAGTTCATTGCGAATTGTTGACTGTGAAAATTGTGGCCTTGAAGTCTACTTATGGGGAAATTAATATAATTTTAAATAGATGAATTTGTTAAGTAGTTGTTTTGTAATTAGCTAAAATAGAAATAGTTGAATCTTACATATATGGTTTTGTTGGTATATAGTTAGAATGAATGACTTTGAAAATAGACAGTGTAGTTCGTGTTTGAGTATACTGTAAACAGACTATTTTGTAAGCAATTCCTTGTAAACTATGTATTCGTAGAATATATGGATGTATCGTAGATGTTTATTAAAATAGTTCATTAAGAATTGTTATTAATCTGTTATTATTGCTGGAATTAGTGGGAATTTTGTATGTAGAACTTGTTCAGTCAAAAAAAAAAACGCATGACACAATGTGAATCAAAATAGTCAATTTGCATGTGTGTCTTGAATGTTCTTGAAGTATTAATAGACGATTTGTGTTAACTGTAAATAGATTTTTTTTGAATTTGTCTTGACTGTTCCTGGAGTATTAATTCGACTATTTGCGTTAAATGTAAATAGACTATTCTGTAAATAGTTCATTGCGAATTGTTGACTGTGAAAATCATGGGCTTGAAGTCTATTTGTGGGGAAATTAATATAATTTTAAATAGATGAATTTGTTAAGTAGTTGTTTTGTAATTAGCTAAAATAGAAATAGTTGAATCTTACATATATGGTTTTGTTGGTATATAGTTATAATGAATGACTTTGAAAATAGACAGTGTAGTTCGTGTTTGAGTATACCGCAAACAGACTATCTTGTAAGCAATTGCTTGTAAATTATGTAATTGTAGAATATATGACTGTATCGTAGATGTTTGTTTAAATAGTTCATTAAGAATTGTTATTAATCTGTTATTCTTGCTGGAATTAGTGGGCATTTGTATGTAGAACTTGTTCAGTCAAAAAAACGCATGACACAATGTGAATCAAAATAGTCTATTAATTGGTTGTTTGCCTTGACTGTTCTTGGAGTATTAAATGGACTATTTGTATTAATAGACTATTATGTAAATAGTTCATTGGGATGTAAATAGACTATTATGTAAACAGACTATTCTGTAAATTGACTGTTCTGTAAATAATTGGATTTCAAATGAAGCCTCTTAGAAAGGTTGATACCAAAAATTGTTTATTTGTCAATATTGTAACTTAATTTGATTTTTCCATTAGACATGGTTTTTAAATTACAAGATAATACACCTTTAACTTACATAATGTACAATTTCAGAAAAAGGCCCTGGAAAAAACAGCAGAACATCACAACCTAGTACTCGTATGTCCAGAAGAGCAAATCGTTTCACTCGCTGAAGCGCCACAACAAAAGGATGATAGTGTTGATTGCGGTGTGGTGGTTTTGTATCTGATTAAAAAAAAAATTCGAGCAACAACCAATCATAAAGGACAAAGCTGAATCAGAATACCCAGCAATGCGAACTGGAATCATGCAATATTTATAGATTGGGGAATCAAAAGATGAATTTGAACAAAAACATCGCTTGATTATTTTAGTTTAATGTCGTTGTAAACTTGCGTAGAATCTCTTTTTTGGTATTTTATGTTGACATATTATTACTTTTGGGAAGTTGTTTTCTGAGCAAACTTTTAGTTTAATGTAGTTGTAAACTTGCGTAGAATGTTTTATTTGGTATTTTATGTTGGCGGTGATTAATTTCTGTAGTGGCTGATATTGGTTTATAATAGATGTTCATTAATAGGTGTATGTTTTTTTTGTTGCTGAAAGCACAATCGTGTGTTGTAGTGGAAAGGCATAAGCATAAGGATGTTGAAAAACAACATATTATGACAAAGGACAATGTTAGTTATATATGACGTATTTTATACCTAGTTTTCATCTATATACTTTATGAGAACAACAACTTTGAATACAACTATTATTTATTAAAAAAAATAGTTGATAAATTTGTACATTGACTACCATATGTCGAAAACATCGCACAAATAAAAGCATATCAGTGAACTGAACTATACTTAAATATAACGTATATTTGATCTATTTAATCGAACTAAACTAAACTATACCAACAATAGTAAACCAATCAACAACAACCACAAACTTAAAAAACGTGAAAGGCATATATTCGAACTGTTTAATCAAACTGTTTAACCAATGTACAAATAAGATTGCCGATATAAAAAAACAAAACCAACTACAATAAAAAAAAAAGGATAAATTATAAAAATTCCACCCACATGCGGCATGTTTTCTTATTATGATTTCCAATCACGATCTTCCGTATCATCAACATCTTTGTCATAGCCAATCATTGGCAGCACCATCTGCGCGTGGACATGCCAAATTGGTGCAACTACATGTTGAATTGGTCGAATCACAATGCCAGTTGCACCCTTCACCACGACATTTATACGCACTAAAGATAACTCGCGCATCAATGCAAACATGGATACCAAGTCTTCATCATCCGCAATAATATATTCTCCACAATCTGCCACCATATATATGATGCTTATATTAGATGCATTCAGACATTGTCATTTCGAACAAGCAAAATCAACCAATGCTTGGATAGTAAGTCCAGAAGATCGCTTCAAAGCAACCAAACCCCCGTACTTCACAAAAATATTAACACTGCTATCCATCTACAATAAACATAAGATTTAAATGAAAATGCAGTTAATAGAGAATACTCATGAAACAACCATGATTAGTTATTGCATAAACGACTATAAGTAAATCAACTATATTTAAATTACGAACATGGTACTGCAAAAAAATAGTTGTGTTACCTGCATAACACGACTATAAAATCTCAACATAATCAGCAAAAAAAAAAAAAAAAAAATCCCTCGTTCATACATAACAACATAAATATTCCATATGCTATCGTTCGCACAAACAACAAAACAGTAGTTCGCATAGATGAAATCAATTACAAACCACCTTCTGCAATTAGATCAGAATCACAATAGATATGAATCCAAATTAAATGCATCGAATCAGCGCTCAAAACAGCTACGTTGTAAACGAAAAAAATAAAAATAAATCGCCTTCTTCAACTACGGTCGCCGACTCTCTGAACGGAATCAGATCTGAATCTCAAAGCGCGTCTTTGAAACGTTTCAAAAATTAACACGATGTTTGAGAGAAATGAGACGGTTATGGAATATGCCGATATATCGTGATCTCTGAGATTTTCTTTAAATCACGTGTCTAAAATAAATTAATTACACAGGGGTGGATATGTAAATGTTAATTATATAATTTATTATTAAAATTCGTATTTAATACAAGGGGGGGTTCTCACTAATTATGAAAAGGGGGTTATATCCACCCTAATATATGTAAATGATGTGGGGGGTTTTCATTAATTATCCCTAATTAATATAACTGTGCTAGAGATTAATATAACAATATTACTGTGTTAGACTGTAATATAGTTAATTTTACTGTGTTTAACAGTAATATAGTTAATATTACTATTAATCACAACAATATTGCTGTTAAGCGGGAAAAAAATAAGATGTTACAGAAAGAAAGAAAGAAAGAAAAAATAAATAAAATAAATAAAATAAAAAAATCGAAAAAGTCAACGGCGGAAACCGGTGGCGGAAAAATTAGGAAGAAAAAAAATAAAAAATAAAAATAAAAAAAATCAACGCCGGAAACCGGCGGAAAAATTAGGAAGAAAGAAAAAAAAAAGTCAACGCCGGAGACCGGCGGTCAAAGACGGTGACGGACGAAATTGTCCATAAAAATGTGTTTTTGGTCAAAATTGAACAATATGTGAAAATTGAGGTTTAATTAAATTAAATAATGAAGTTGGAGCATATTAAAGTATAAGGGGCTATTTTAGTCTTTTACAAAAATATGAACCATGTATGGACTTTTTTGTAAAAGAATTTATAATCTGGATCTCTTTATGAATAAGTACCCAGACTTATTTGTAAAGTGCCCTATCTCTATTCATATATTTATTTGTTCCTTTTTACTTTATTCCTAACATATCCTCCCGTGATGGATTAATGTACATTTCCGTAGAATCTTAAGCAAATATTTATGTTTATAAATCAGTTATTATTGATAATTGAAGTTCAAATTATTTCTTTCATGGCTTCCATGTTGTATATATTTGTTTAAGTTTCAATATTTCAAATTTTGACATAATCATAACCGCTTTTAGGATCTTTAAAGCAAAATCTCCTGCTGAATCTATAATATTTTAGGCTAAATATACCTAGCAATATAAAATAATACGATTTATTAAAATATTTTAACTAGACACGTGTGACGCACGTGCATCTTCCTAGTAATTTAAAATGGAACAATCAAATATCATGATTTTAAAGTTTCAAAACCATTAACTGCAAACAATTATGTAAAAAAACACAAAACATTGAGCAAGAAAAATTACACAAACAAATTACAAACTGTAAAACCGTACCGTACTATATCGGAATTTTGATAAATCGAAATTACAGTACTTCAAAATTTTGTACCGTTTACCGAAACCAACAATTCGGTTCTGTACGATTTTTACTGAAATATTCGCCACGGTACGGTTTGGTACCGGTAAAATCGAAATATATTTCCTTATTTTGGAAAAGGTAAAAGAAATAATTTTAAAAAAATAATCTTGAATTTGACATTCAAATTTCAATAATCGATCCTAAAAAAAATTTATCAATAGAGGTTAATTTGTAAATAATTCCGTACCGAATACCGGAATTCAAAGAAAATTACCGAATACCGAACTTAATTCTCGGTTCGGTGTTTGGCACATACCAAATTTTCGGTTCGGTACGGTTCGATGGGTTTACCGAGTGAACACCGCTAAGATTAATAGTCACACTTATAACACATGAACCAAGACTTCCTTATCTTGTGAAACTTTCAGTACTAACAAAAATACAACTGATTAAACCATAACAAGTTGAAAATACAACGGAGTTAGTTTCCTCTTTAACAATAAACATCCGTTTCATAAAAAGTCTACGAAAAACTCAATTTATAATAGCGATAAAAATATAGTAAATCGAATTATCACATTCATATATGCTTAGTGACCAAAAAAAAAAAAAAAGATACTAGTGTAGCTTTTCGTGGCAAATGAAACAACATTTGATGGTGAGTTTTGGACTAGGTGAGTTTTCGCCATAGGCCGCCTTTGGAAGCAGATAGGCACTTCACTTTCGCGAAAACAAAACCGGTCTTTGGAGGCTTGCCATCAACAAGAGAGTTCTCGTATATTTCTTTGCACTCCTGAATAACCTATTTCACAAAAATAAAACAAATGTCACGCCAAGTTTTGTCCGTATTGTATAACTCTTAATGTTTGATCTAATTATAGAAAAACTTAAATCACTCGAACACCCTATTCGAAAGGTGCAATTTGCAAAAAGAGTAATAAATGTCATGAGATGTTTGCATTTATAAACTTAAATGCATGTCTTTTTTTCTCTGTAATCATGATTTCACACACAATCAACACAAACAAGACTAAGGGGGATTTCTCATTTCGTAAGTGTTTATGTAAAATGTTCTAATTTAAAGAGTCAGCACCCAAATCAAGAAATCAGTAAGGCTCCAAATATTGCTATTAAGAAAGGGTTTATTAATATTTATTACCTCTTTAGCATCTTTCCGAGGTATGCCTTCTCGTAAGGCAACAAGTTTCTCAACCACCTCTGGCTGCATCAACAAGTGCACAAGGATAATGACAATAGTAGAGACAACGAGCATTTATCCAATTTTCCAATCAATTCCAAAATCGAACAACGAATAGAAAATGATTTGGCAATATCAATTTTATCGATCCTCTAATGAAACAGATCCTCTAATGAAAAAGAAAATTCAATATATAGCACTTACAGGACAGTCTGGTTGATGTTCAAGTATATTTGTATATGCAAGTGTGAAAGAATCTGGACTCTCTGACGAAGCAAGTTCTCTCATGTCACAAATTATCTTTAGTCTTTTTTCAACTTTCTGCACCACGTAATATAATGTTACATGTTAACAAGTTAACTTTAATAAATGAAAACCAACTAGAGAAACATAAACTCGATATTATTGACATGTCTACTGTAAATTCCTTAATGCATGAATCTTGAGTAGGTTATGAGCTAAAGCACTTTACATAGACGGTTACATCTCTTCACTTCATGAAAATCGATGAACTTACAGGAGCACTTATGTACTTCTTGAAAAACTCCGAAAGAACATCTTCATCTAGCTTTATTTTCTCAATCGTCTCTTCTTTAATATAACTTTTCTGTGGAGCAGACAGAAAGAAAAGTAAAGATTAAATACATAAGGATAACTTTGAAAAAATCTTGTCATGGTTAAGTGATTCTCAAGTAATGAACCTGGACAAGCAAATGGTCAACGTAGACAACAACGGTTTCTTCCAGGCAGAGCTCAACCAATCGCATAAATGATCTTTCTTCGATGAACCTTCGTAAAAAAATGAAAGAGAATAAATGAATTGCACCCACCAAATAAAACACGAAAAGTCAACTACCATATTTTCAGGTAGTTGTACTAGGTTAAATAACTTACGTTGTGACATCTTTAAAGTAATCATCAATTGTTTCAACTAGAAATTCAATGACTTGTCCTTCCAACCAACCTGGAATGTGACCGGGAAACAAGTCAATATGAATCATGTTCGAACAATTTAATGTCACTCAAAGAAGACAATTCATTTTACCAACTCATTGATCTGATGTTTAAATAAGTGTTAATATACTTAAATAAACTATTGTTTATATTTATCTTCAATGAACTAGGTTCAGCGCTGCATCTTCTTAGCATCACCAAATATCATATCATGTTACACAACTTGAATATAAATTTTAGAAATTCCACTTATGAAGGAATACTTACTGTCAATATACAAATATGAATAACAATTAACAACAGAAATTTCTTATAAGTCAAAAGAAATGCAAAATTTCAAATATTTAAGAATGAATTTAGATAGTAACCTATATGTTCATGGAAAGAACTTCCAAAATAAGGTTTGCAAGAGTAAAGTTCATTACCTTTCTGATACAAACTTGCAAGTACATCCTGAATTCCTTGATCTTCGAAAATGAAGCTAACAGTTCGATGAACAGCTTCCTAATAATATTTAAACTATTACTTTGTGACGATGAGGAAGAATCATTGATAATATCCATACAGTTAATATGAAAAATGTAGAGTTGGTTGACTATTTAACATATACTTAAAGACCGTTAGACCAACTGCTAAAAAAAAGACCGTTAGACCATAATACGGAAGTAAACACCAAATAGCACCACAGTGAGCATTAGTATTCTAAATTTTTAATTTTAGTTGACTAATTGAACGAACTAGACCAAAACATAATTCTCGAGTAAGAGCTGAAAATGACTGATCAAAAAAATAATTGTAAATACCTGTATGTATGTGTAATGCAATGAAAGTAAGAACATAAAATCTTGAAAGTAAATCACCAGTATACCTTCGCAACATCTAGAAAACCCTTGCAAGTTTCCTCAAAATTAACCTGTAAAAGTGATCGAGAGACCGTTTAGAAAAAGAACATTGTTATTCATATATATAGTACGTCCAGACATGTAGATACCTACATCAATGTTTTTTCAACCTAAACATTGGAAATGTCGGTGGCAAATCATATTTAGTGGGAGAATGAATTCTACACTAAACCGCATTTTGTCAAATCATGTTGATATTTAAATTTAGCTCTTCTTCTGCTTCATTTATTACATGCCGACCATGCTTTAATGCATTTATTGTAGTTTTATGTCTTACAAGTTGGCTCAGGAGGATTTAGTTATTAACCACCAAGTGTACGTTGGAGAATGATACACTCATATTGTACGATAAAAATGGTAGGTTGTTTACGAGTGAAAAAATTAACCTATTAAGCGTAATTTTAATGATTACAACCTAAACACATCCTTAAGCAATACTCTATGAAAAAAAGGGCAGTTTGGGAAAATGATATACAAAATTAATAGTTAAGATAGAAGTATTCTATTGGAAAATTAAAAATGGGGAAAACGATTGTCCTCTATAATATGGAGATAACAAAGGTAGAATACCTCTCTTCTATTTATTTCACCTATAGCGTCGTTTCCATGGTTCCATAGTTTCGATTTATCAAATCAATTGCTAGAAAATTTAACCAAATAAATTTGTCTATTGTCTAGAACAAGACGCTTAACCGTTAAACATCAGACATATTTATCTAGAACGGGTAATTTAATAGGAGAGTTGTACAATCTCACACAAACTAAACATAGGTCATTTTGTAACTTCACTATACATGCACATACTATGAAAAATGTGATATAGCAAGTGTATGCAAAACATAATTAATCCACCTAATAAGGCTCGTGACTTTATAATGCTTCAGATACACATCCAAAAGCAAAGAGATATGACTGTTAGTGTTAAAATACATTGAAATTGTAATCGTAGAATTTCTGCTGTAATTTTAACGTTAAAAATCTCGAACATGGGAGAGTGGAAGGTACAAAAGTTCTAAGGTAACATGATCACCTGCTCAGCATAATATTGTGGGAGAGCTTCAAGAGTGTTAGAACTTAGCTCCATGGCAAGATCGTAGCAGTTGAGATTGTTATTGATCTGTCATAAAGTGATTTTGTTATCAAGATATAGATATAGCTCAGATAAGCAATTGTTTATCTATCACATATTGTGTAGGTATTTACGTACCATTGCGCATAAAGCTTCTAGTTCACCTTCAGGTTCTTCCAATTTCTGCCTTTCCGCTGCTTGAAAATCTATCATTACCTGAAATGAGAACAAACAACACTCAACGTCTTAAATGTTCTTCAGAAATCCTTATCAACATCTCTCATCTTTTCTTAACTCTCATTGTTGTCTTTTAATTATTGTTTTTTTCTTTTTTTTTTTGGTAACTACTCAAGTTGAACATACCTGAATAATCGCCAAAGAGATTCTGTATAGCATGACATCAGTGCTATTTTCTTGTACAATTTGGACTTGCTCTGCAAGGATGCGAAACAAATCGACAGCAGCTGGAGTGTATAGCTTTCCATCGCCTCTTACCTTTGGTGGCTGTACTTTATCAGCCTCAAGTATATTCAAGTACCATTTCTACAGAATAGAGTGCCTTCAATTCATTAATTGACTTAATAAAGGTGATTTAATATGAATATAATGAAAGGCTAATGGTTTATTGCATAGTTACCCTTGTTGTGGCTTGCATTCGTTCGATATAAGCATTCATAAGGGGATCCATTGAACCGCTCTCGGAACAAACTTGAGCTAAAGACTCGTCAACACCGAGTCCTATTAGATTGTTTTGGTATTCAACTACCCAACCGGTTACCTAATATCAGAGGTAGACATTAACAATAGAAACAAAGTGGAAGAAAATAAATTTTGACATATCTTCTTTTACCAAATTGCAAGGTACGAACATAGTGCGAAAGACAAAAGACAAAGATGAGACGCCAACAGAAAATCAAGATAAATACCTTTAATATCTCTATATTAGTTAGATCATTGGCTTTGTCACTGATTAGTCTCAACCACTGAATAAACCTCTCAGTGTAAAGATTCACCATGAGCTGGAATATTTCATATCTGAAAGAGTAGAAATTCGGTTTAAGAAATAATATTATCAAAATCTACTAAAGAATCTTATGTTCATTTGGATGGAAGAATTTGAGAAAAATATTTCAAATCACAAAAACAAATTCATTGACCTTGTTTGCTCGATTAATTTAACGGTGGATTTCAAACCCAGCTAGTTTTTGAGTTTTTGCGATGGATTTCAAATCCACTCATTATAGGGTCATTTGAAATCATTTCCCAAATTCTCTCATCAAATCTAAATACTTTAATAAATATGTACTTTTATTGCATGACAAACCTAGGAGGGAAACAAGGAGCAACAAAGTCATACGTATCTCCAAGCTCTTCACCAATCTGACATTAATAAGAAATGTAAATAAAATATTCGGCACAACGTTCAATATCTTTAGAATAACACATGTTTGCAGAAATTGATGAAAAGATAACAATTGTGAAAGTCACGATATGTAACTCGAATACAGAGAAATGCATAGTTGACATTGTCTAAATATCAGTTATTAAACGGTAGACGAAGAAATCTTCATGGAGAAAAAATAGTTTTCTGATGCTAGAAAGAATATGATATACACGTTCTAAAGTAAACGATATCCTACTCCGTTTTACATTTAAAGAGAATCTTGGCTTTTACGTTTCTCTTTTTGTTACTGTCAGTTAAATAGCAATAACAATTGATAATTTATGTCAACTGCCAAAACATTCACAAGAAGAAGTATAAGAAATACCTTTTTAGCCTCCTCTACAGCTCCTTTTAGGTCCTCAAATACAAGCTGGAAGATATATTATAAACACATGTGGAAGTTATAGAAAACTTTACAACTCGATCTTATAGAAGAAGCACGAAAAAAACATGAACCTCAGTGAGCAGTTGGTTGAAACGTGATTCAACAGACTTCGTTATTGCCTCGTAACATTTATCCTTATATCCTTTACCTTGAGCCTTCAACTTCTGTTGTGTAAGATTTTTAAAAGACGACATTGCAGTTGTAGATTTCCTAAATTAAGAGAAGATGAAGAAGAAAAAGAACACTTAGATTGACATCATGCAAAATTGTTTTGAAATGCCATGCGTGGTTGACTTGGTAAATACTTGGCACGAGGATTATCTGTAGGGTCCACTGCAGCACCTCCTTCAGCCTCAGCTGCTTCCATAGCAAGTTGTTGATCCAAGATTTCTTGCATTTCGACAACCCTTTTTCATTTTAAGGGTAAAGTAAGGAAATGGATTAGTACCCAGATGACCTAGGAAGAAGGCTCTTGCGGCAATGTGCCCCATTCAGAGATATACCTTAGTGCACGAACTAATGTTTGTGGGCTGCAAAAGAAAATAACATAGACAAATGAGTACCAGAAATACATTGACAGCTGTTGAAAGCTAAGAACAGATATGAAAGATATGAAGTGGAATACAAATTGTAACAAATTTGATTAAATTTGTCAAATGTAAGATGATTCGGATAGAACTATTTCAGAGATTTTCTAAATCAGTTTGTATTAATTTATTTTTTATAATCCATTACAACAGTTTCTTCTATCACTGTTCTTCAGTTGTTAAACAAAAAGCAGACGAATTTGGCTTGAAATATGCCCCCCTCGCTCAAAAGATTGAAGTCAGCTGATCAAGATGAAAGGGATACTTCATATCCACAATCATTCATAATTTACTTCGCCTCTATGTTTCAGCTCAGTACATAAAACTATACATGTGACCCTTGGAATATTGAGTTCCGAGTGATAAATCTTTAAACATGTGTTTTAAACATTAAGCTGATCTATTTGTAACTTGACGTAATTGCTGTCACTGTTAATGTGGGATCCTTTTCTACGTATCAATATAACACTTGCCCATTTTACAGAATGATATGTATTATTGATCCTAGTTGACAAGTAACAAACTGAAACAAGCATTCCACTGACATATACGAGAAAGGATAAAGTCAATAAGCGAGACTACTCTAGAAGCTTTGCATATAATAAGAATTTCAAGGTGAATAAAAGCCTCTCCCTTGCTAGACTATTCTCCCTCCTGATAACCATCTTCGTCTTTCTATATTTTATGTGTTTGATCAGTAAATCATCAATTTCAAGTCACTCATCCACATCTATGAATTACTGACACGGGCTTGATATTTATTGAGCAAAAACAATCTCCACGGTGTGTTACATTTCCATTATAAGGTTAAACGTTTAAACAAGAAGGCAAATTTTCAGCTTCTTTTGTTTTCCTTTTTTTTTTTTTTGTTGTTTGTTTGTGTATGTGTGTGTGTCTTGAGCAGCCCTATTAGGTGCAAACCAGAGTCTTTTTGACCCAATTCTTATTAATGTGTGAAACTGATACAAGTGGATGACACTTAAATTTGCTCTTAGAATATGCTGAATGAACGAACATCTAGATGATGCTTGACTTGTTCAACCTAGGAGATATTTATCAATCTTCAAGATTATACATCCAAAGAGATGTATGATGCATGCCAAGTTTAATACTAATAGAGTTTGTTAATTTTCACTCTCAGGGACCTCATTTCTTTCATCTAATATACACACACCGAAGTACAAGAACAAGAAAATGGGATCCCAATAAAAGACACCCTTAAAACAGCATACCTTTCTTTAGCAAGTTTTAAGAAGTTGGAAATATGACCCCATAATGTCTTTTCAAATGTCTCCCACGTGTGATCTATATCTTCAAAGTATTCCCTGCGAAATGCGGTATTATTCATCATAATAACTAAAGATGCTCGTATTTAAAGTTACACTAAGAAATCACCAAATCGTAAACAATTGTATCTGAGAGAGTTGATTCATATCCATCTCCATTTTTGTAAAGATTATACATTTTTCCAATTTGTTGTCTTCGTGATTGAATGGTCAAATTATATCATCATTCAGATATTTTTCAATTACTGTAGGGGAATGCATATATAGTCAAAGAATAAATAAACCGTACAAAACCATTAGAATAGCATGTAAAGCTTCTGACCTCAGCCTATCAACCTCTTCTTCATGCGTTGACGCAGCAGCTAATGCAAACCTCCGTTTCCCATCAAGAGCAGTTAACCTCTAGATTGGATTAAAAATAACAAGTTTAGTAGCATATATCTTGAAATTAAATCGAAGAAACATAAAATCATCGAGCCCGCAAAATTTCAACCTCATAGGTGTTAACCAGTTCCCTGTCATCACTCAAAGAATCGTGCGCCTCAGCAGCCTCAACGGAGATAGACATTATGCCTCCCACATCCTGGTAAAAGAACAATAACGTCATATGTAACAATTCTTATAATAAAAAATTGCAAGACTTTTTACAGGTTTACGCGAGTTTTAATTTTCACGTTACAGACTCCAAAAAGATTTTGTTAAACTGCACTTACCTTAAGAGTCATATTTAAGTTATTCCTCGCATTACTGAGGAGCTTTACTTGATCGTGATTTTCGATCAATGTTTGGCATTCTTGGCACAACCTGTTAAGAAACGAAGTTCTACATCAACCTAAAACTTTAATGAAACAACACATGAAATGCATTCTTTTCAGAGAAACAGAGAAATTTACGAAGTATGTTACATAGATAGATTTCATACTTATCAATCTCAATGAAATTATCTCTCAGATTATTTATTGTCTTTTGGGACAAGGAAACCGATTCAAGGCCGGCTTGTGCCTGCTCAACCTGAATCCAGGAATTCAGAGATAGAAGTAAGAAATTTGGAGACAGCAAAGCTAAAACGAAAGCTAAGATAACTCTCCCTTAATAGTTAGTCGATACATAAAATAAAAAGGTTTTACAGACTCAGGATCCATCTATACCTGTTCAGCAACCATCGTACTGAGTTGTGCATCGTTCGCCTAATACCAAGAAAATAAACAAAAATGTTCATCACCGAGTATATAACTATTCTTCACTGTAATGTGGTAAAAGTTTAAAAAAAAAATCACAGTAGCTGAAATCAAAATTACCAGAAGACCAACCTCCTACTACCTAACAAAAAAATAGAAACAAGTGGTGATTGTTAAAGAAAGGCTACCTCAGAAATATTAGTTTACTCCCTCCATTCCATTTTAATTGTCTTTTTGGGTTAATTCACACATATTAAGAAAGCTAATAAATGTGCATGGATTCTAGAAAAATCATAGTAAAATGACTAAAAAACCAATTTTATTAAATGTTTAATGTTTAACCATTAATTATCTTAATAGTAATAAGGGCATAGTTGAGAAAACACAATAAATACTTCATTGGAATCCTTACGTGACAATTATTTTGAAATGAAAAAAATTCTCTAGAAAGACAATTAAAATGGAATGGAGGGAGTATAATCTTTCAAGTAGTAATTTAAATCCAGAATGAAAAATTAGAAAATTGCAATCCCAATTATAAAATTGCCCATACATAATATCTCCAAATCCCAATCCCCAAATATCTCAATTCCCAAAACCTAGATTTTACATGACTGAATAGAAATGTGGCATATGAATACAAACCCGAGTAGTTACTGTGGAAAAATAAAGGATAATTCATCGAAAATTTGCAGAATTTATATAACCTAGAAGCGAAAAAAGCGAACCTGTTGGCGGGCAATGTAGTCAGATTTGATTGAAGAGATGCAGAGTAAAAGCTCCGGCAGCGGCAGAAGCTTCGCCACCTCTCTGACCGCCGCCTCCTTCGCCTCCACCCCTAGATTCTCAGCCGTCATCTTCTTTCGCTCCTCCGTGAAGTGATCAGAGTGTTGGGCAAAGCGAAATTCTTCTTCAAAATAGGTATAATCATGAACGAATTTGGGGAGGATTCAAATCTGTTGTAGTATGCATGGTTTCTCATATTTGATGCAGATCATTTGATTTAATAATTGTCAATTTTTCCCCTATTTTTAGTATAGGAAAATTGGATTCCATTGAGCAATTGACACGTGGAGAAAAAAGATAGTTTATTATGCTCCTAATTAGTAGGCATTTTAGATCATAAAAACTCCTTAATACATATATATGTAGGGGGTAATGGCAAATAGGCCCATGACAAGGGCACTTAATTAAAATAGGGACATCCAATTTTTTTGTCTTTCAAATAAATCCACCCCATTCAAACTTATTTGCAAATAAGGAAAATCCCTTTATATATACCAAAATTACCCCCAATTCATTGAAACCCAATTTAACTCCAATTTCATGATTTACACCCCAATTTAGCCCAATTTCATCAATTAACCAATTTTAACCCTAATTTCAATTTTGACCCCAATTTTAACCCTAATTCGTATCAATTCCACCCATTATGCTCTAACTTCTTTAATATTACACATTGACCCCGGATTTTAACAAATATATCACATTAACCCCCAAAACTTTTTTTTTCAGAAAATAATTTTTTTTCTGAAATATTTTTTTTCCGGCCAGATTCCGGCGTTGACCGCCGGAGACCGCCGGTCTCCGGCGTTGACTTTTTTTTTTTTTTTTTTTTGAATTTTGTTTTCCTGAAAATTTTTTCCGGCCGGTCAACGGCCGTTGACCGGCGGGTCTCCGGCGTTGACTTTTTTTTTTTTTTCTTAAAAAAAATATTTTAATTAATTTTACTGTCTTGGCTGCTAAATTACTGTCTCCGCCAGCTATTTAACTGTCGGAGACAGTAATTTAACTGTTAATTGACTTTTTTATTCTTAAAAAAAATATTTTTAATTAATATTACTGTATTCGTTGCTAAATTACTGTCTCCAGCAGTTATTTAACTGTCGGAGACAGTAATTTAACTGTTAATTGACTTTTTTATTCTTAAAAAAAATATTTTTAATTTAATATTACTGTATTCGTTGCTAAATTACTGTCTCCAGCAGTTATTTAACTGTCGAAGACAATAATTTAACTGTTAATTGACTTTTTTATTCTTAAAAAAAATATTTTTAATTAATATTACTGTATTCGTTGCTAAATTACTGTCTCCGGCAGTTATTTAACTGTCGGAGACAGTAACTTAACTGTTAATTGACTTTTTTATTCTTAAAAAAAATATTTTTAATTAATATTACTGTATTTGTTGCTAAATTACTGTCTCCAACAGTTATTTAACTGTCGGAGACAGTAACTTAACTATTAATTGACTTTTTTTTTTCCCTTAAAAAAAATTTATTTTAATTAATATTACTGTCTTGGATGTTAAATTACTGTCTCCAACAGTAATTTAACTGTCTTAGACAATAATATTAATAATATTACTGTTCGGAAAAATAATATTCATAATATTACTGTCCCAAACAGTAATATTACTGTTTGAGACAGTAATTTAGTAGTCAAGACAGTAATATTAATTAAAATATTTTTTTTCTAAGAAAAAACAATTCAAAAAAAAAAAAAAAAAAAGTCAACGCCGAAGACCGGCGGTCAACGGTGGTTGACCGGCCGGAAAAAAAAAATCAGGAAAAAAAATTTCAAAAAAAAAAAAAAAAAAAAAAAGTCAACGCCGGAATCTGGCCGGAAAAAAAACAGTTCAGAAAAAAAATTATTTTCTGAAAAAAAAAAGTTTTGGGGGTTAATGTGATATATTTGTTTAAATCCGGGGTCAATGTGTAATATTAAGGAAGTTAGAGCATAATGGGTGGAATTGTTAAGAATTATATTATTGAGGGTATTTTAGACTAAAGACATGGAGATGGGCTTAATTGAGATACTGTTTTTTTTGTGGACTAAAATGCATTTAAGTCCCATGTGATGGGCCTTTTTGCCATTTGCCCTATATGTAGTTAAGGGTTATTTCTATGCTACACCCCATGAATACTTACATTGATCTAGACACACCAATGTGGGTGGGTGTGGGTGTGTTTTTGTGTGTATATGAATGGTAATGATCTACTGGTGTAGCATAGAATAGACCTTAATCAACGTAACATATCATTATTATTCCTATTGCTAATTATTTATTGTGACTTTTCGTTAGTATTATGAGCAGAAATCGGAATGGAATTTCCGAAAATTCCGCCAATTTTAATTCGAAAATATCTGAATTTGGAATTGTATTTTTCATTCTGATTTTTTAGGGACTATTAGTGAGAACCCCTCTAACATTATTTTAATAAGGATGGGTCCAGCTCATTTTCTTTTATTAGTGAGAAACCCATTCTTTTTGTATTCTCAAATTTACCCTCCCACTATTCACTACTGATTATCCATTAGTTTGATATATTTTTTTTTTATTTTTTTTATTTTAATTTTAATTTTTGTTTTTTTATTTATTTCTTCTTTAAAAAATAATGTTTTTTTAAAAAAAACTTTTTTTTTTATATTTATTTTAATATTTTTCTTTAAATATTACTTTTCTATATTATTTTAGTTTTCAGTTAAAACAACTATATGCCAATAAAACGACTATTATTAAAACGACTATTATAAAACGACTATTATTAAAACAATTGGTATTAAAACAATGATACATCAGTTTCACAATTTATTAAATTAATTATATATTATATTATTTCCATTATAAGATTAACTAATTATTTAATTAAAACATCTCCAAAACAACTATTTGTTAAATGAACTATTTATTCAAACAAACTAAAAAGTAATGAAAACAATAATATTGTTGTGCAAAAACAACTATATTACTATACGAAAACAACTATATTGACTCAACTACAAATTATTGAAATCCACAAAAGCAAAAGCAAAAGCAAAAAAACACACCAAAATTCCAACAAAAACGACACGCTATTACGTGTAAGTAAATGAATTAGGGGGTTTTTACGTATTTCTTCTCCAGGTCCACCTCCAACAACAATCCAAAGAATGGGAGCAATTGTTGACAAAAGTTCACCACCTACAAATTTAAAACACCGACAAATATCACAAATCAATTACAAAAAGTAATAAAAAAAATAAAATACAATGGTAACAAGTATTCAACTATAAAAGTAACATAAACAACTACAACATTAACAAAACAACTATAAAAAAGCAGAAAATACAACTACAAAAATTAACAAAACAACTATAAAAAAAAAAAAAAAATACAACTACAAAAATGATACAAACAACTATTTCTCCGAAATTGAAACAACATGAACATCGCAACACATCCAGACATATCAAATAGTTTGCTTCGAGCATTCTCGTCAAATCTTGATTTTCTAATTGCAAACCACCATGATTTTTAAAGCATGGACAATAGAAACTACTCCATAATTAAACAATAATTAGCATATCAAAACAAACAAAGCAAATAAAAGAACACCAATATACCACCATCCTTGCTTTCTACAGCAAACATCTCATCGATCAGGAGAATTTCCGGTTATTGGTATTAAAACAATGATACATCAGTTTCACAATTTATTAAATTAATTATATATTATATTATTTCCATTATAAGATTAACTAATTAGAATAACGAAAACAACTAATTAAAAAACTATATTGTTGCAAAAGATACCCATCAACAACTATACAAAATAGTAGAATAACGAAAACAACTATACTAAAAATAGTAGAATAACGAAAACAACTATATTGCTGCAAAAGATACCCATCAATAAAAACATCTCCGATTTTTTTTTTTAAATTATGGTTGCGGTGGAGCAGAGCGATGTTACCAGATCTGACGATGCAGACGAGGGTGGAGGTAGAGAGGGGTTAACCATTACCAAAAAAAAAAAACGAAGGGTCTCCCATATTCGATTCCAACGCCTTTGGTGGCCACCGAATATGACGAACAAAGCGAACTAAGCGAGAATCGACTCCATAGCGGCTGAGAACGAAGCGAACTAAGCGAGAATCGACTCCATAGCGGCTATTGTTCTTTAATTTTCTTCACTGTGCCGGAGATTTGAGAACGACTCCTTCGTCGTTGTTGAGACGTGGCGCCACCTTCGTCCTCCGTAGCCGCCGCCTCCACCGCCATTACCGGGATTCCCAGATTGAGAAAGAAGAGAAGTGGATTTCAGATCGATAAAGAAGAGAAAACGTGAATCGGGATGATAGAACGGCGGTTTTGAATATAAAATATATGACTAGGGTTTGTGATTATAAGATCTTATAATTAGGGGTAATATAGGTATAATATTTAATAATTATATTAATATTAATTTAATTAAATAACTAAGGGGATCTCACTAATATTGGAAAAGGGTGTAGATCCATCCTAATATATCTTAATGTGCTGGGGGGCTTTCACTAATTATCCCGATTTTTTATTCTTCCGAATTTATTTAGAACGTAATTGAAATGGTATATGAAATTACTATAAATTTAATTTTCGATCCAATTTTCGCCATAGATTACCTTTGGAAGCAGATAGCGACCTCACTTTAGCGAATACAAAAACTGGCTGTGGATGGTTTTTTTTTTTTTGTTTTTTTTTCTTTATTTGTCATCAACAAATTAAGTATTTATTATTAGTATTATTTTGGATTATATTTTAATGAAAAAATGAGAAGTAAATAAGAAAAGGTGCAATTTGCTAGAAGCCCCCATATACTAAATTAAGTATTTATTATTAGGTTTGTGGGTGTTTGTAATACATAATAAAAGAGTGGGGTAATTGGTGAAAGAGATAAAAACAAGTGAACCTAGAATAAGAAATAATATTTCTTTTTCAAGGCAAATAATAATAATAATAAGGGTAAATTACAACCACCTCTGGTATGGTAAAATTACGAAAAAACACTTCTTATTTAGATAATTACATCTACCCCTTAATTATGAATTTTTCTTATACCTCCACTCTTATGATGTCAAATTCAACATAATCATCTAGATTTCGTGGAATGAGCTCTATTTTGTACTCATTGTGTGTAAAAATACAGTTTCTGATGCACCACTATCTTATATATATATATATATATATATATATATATATGGGGCATTTTTTTTTACAATATTTTGGGATTTTTTTTTGAAAACTGGGGTGATTTTATAATTGATTTCATAAATACAATAAAACGTCATTTAAAACGACGCTCTTTAAGAACCGTTGGATTGTGTCTGAATCAATGGCCATCTCTTCAATTTTGTCTTCTTAATCTGACGATCAGAGATTGATCTGGACGATCGGACGGCCCTTAAAAGGCGTCAATCAAAACGACGCCCTTTGATCCGCCGCACTAGATTACAGCGTCATTCACATGTACGCCTTTTAGTAGCCGTTGGATTGTGTTTATATCAACGGCTGGATTTGAGCTGAGGTTTTTTAAATTTACTTAATTCTTTTTATTGTTAAAATGTAATACTTAATTGAATTTTAATTTTAAATTAATTATATGTTGTATTTTAAAAAAATTCCTTGATTTATTCATGCAATTTATTTTATAATTCACTATAAAATAATAATAATAATAATAATAATAATAATAATAATAATAATAATAATAATAATAATAATAATAATAATAA